CCCCAAACCCCCAAAACCCCAAAACCCCAAAACCCCTCATTTTTAGTAAATTATTGAAATTTCCGCGAAAATGGAGCAATCACACATCGAAAATAGAAAGAAGTTTTTTCAAATCCCTGAAAAGGATATACAAAAAGAGAGGAGTAAGTTCCAGGTCTCCCTTCGTAAGAAGAAAAAGCAAGATCTCTTCAGGCAAAGAAGGGCTATGATCATAGACGAAAATATACAAGAGGCTACATTGGAGAAGACTAGCACTAAAATTCTCTTCGAGAGACTTATCACTCAGATGTCGTATCAGAATTGGCAGCCAGTGATAGAAGAGACGCTTAAGTTACTTACCATGAAGTTTATAGATACCTCAAAGAGAGGAGATTGGTTGGAAATTATTGCTCTTCCTCAATTCTCAAAGTCTCTTTCTGACATCCTCAAGGAAGGTCCAGGAGTTTTCCAGGAGCTACCTGATCAAGGATGCTTAAATAACACTGAGAAAGTTCTTGAAATCTACTACAGTGTCTCTTTCCTTGAACAAGAGGAAATTGATACATTCTTTAAAAATAGTTTTGAGGAGAAATTCACTGAAAATATTTCTTATTTGTTAATTGGATCTATTAAGAAGTTAACCGCTCTTCAAGAAAATATTTCAAGTAAGGAGAAACAACATGAGTTGAAATATTTTACGAATATCATTACTGTCAGTCTGAGCATACTTGGCAACCTCTCTTGGATGTATAAAGCAGAAATTGACAGTGATCTGTATGATACCTCTATGTTTAAATCTATGACTGAGCTTGCACAAGTTATTGAAAAGCAGAAAGAGGAGCTAGTATCAAATACTCAAATCACTAGCATTATTAGTATGTACAACTGGTATCTCCAAATTTTAGCGTATAAAGATGATGATTTTCCACTGATCCTCACTCACCATGTATTTGAATATTTCACAAATATGCTAGCTTGGATTATGCCGATAAAAGATCACCCAAAGATGATAGAGAAAGATTCAGAGTTTGTAGATTCCATAAAGTTCTTCTTCAGTGCTCTCTCAAGTATCATAAATTACAAAGAATGTAACCAGCTAGAATTTATTGGGACACAAGATCTGATAAAACCAACAATGCAGTTGACCTCCGGGTTATTATTTGATGATCCGAAAGAGCACTCAGAATGCTTCAGATATGCCAGTTCGATACTTAACTCCATTAGTTCATTTGAGAAGCCTGAGATATTTAAGGAATGTGAAGTCTATATTGCCACATTCAACTTGATAACTCTTGAAAATCACAAATGAATATCAGAAATTTTTGCTGCTATCGCTAATTTTTCTAAGCTAAATGATGCGATAATGAAGACTATCAGCCAGAAAGATGGGTTCCTTTTCATACTGCAAAAAGCAGTTGACCTATCCTATTTCAGTGTGAAATATGAAGCTGCTTTATTAGTCGAGGATATTCTGGATATCAACGATGATAATGAGGAGTTCCTTGATCTAATCTTCACTGATAAAGACACTATAGCTTTGCTGCAAGAATTCTGCATTACAACGTTACTGTTTGATATGAAATTTCCTGAATTAATCACAATCTCTATAACACTCTTCGATACGCTCTTCAAGCTAGAGGACAGAAACAAGCACAGACCAGAGATTTCTGAGACAGAGGGTTTCTACCTCGCCAAAGCTATTGAAGAAAACTTGGGTGAAAAATTAGAGGATTTCATGTCTATTAACTCAGATCTTTGTGTTGAAATCCAGGAGTTCATCGTCAAGCATCAGTTGATCACCACTGAGGATTGGACTGAGATAGCCCAGAAGACGAATGAGGCTATCTTTAACTCAAAATTTACCTTCTAAGACACTTAAAATGTTCTGAATGGGGTTTTGGGGTTTTGGGGTTTTGGGGTTTTGGGG